GTGGTGGTGATGGTGATAAAGGTGTTGGTGATAACGGTGTTGGTGAGGGTGGTGGTGGTGGTGGAGGTTGAAGGTGACAGTCAATAATGTTGAATTATTAGCCAGCCTGACCAGCCAAGCACGAGGGAGGTAAAGGGTCGAGACAGACAGACAGACTTAAAGAAATATAGATGATCATACAGAGAGAGAGAGAGAGAGAGAGAGAGAGAGAGAGAGAGAAAGTGAGGGGAGGTGGGGAGAGACGCAGATCAGACTAGAATACATGACAGCGTAGTGTAAAATATATAATGGGTTATTTTCGTGGGTGGCCTAAAAACACACACACACACACACACACACACACACACACACACACACACACACACACACACACACACACACACACACACACACACACACACACACACACACACACACTCACACATTACCAACACACCACATTAATGAGGCAATACACGCTATGAGGCACACATCTTCTTAACACCCACTCCTTCCTGCCCCTCCTCCTCCTCCTCCTCCTCCTCCTCCTCCTCCTCCTCCTCCTTTCCTCCTCCTCCTCCTCCCTCCTCCTGCTCCTCCTCCTCCCTTCTTCTCTTCCTCGTCTTTTATTACTCTTTCCTTTTCCTTTACCCTTCCTTATTTCTTCCATCTCTTTGACTCTTCATTCTTTCTCATCATCTTTCCGTCCTTCTCTTTCTTTATTGTATTTCCCTCACACTGATACATACATACATACATACATACATACATACATACATACATACATACATTGCGTTGCGTAGGGAAGGTTTTTCGACGGCGTATAGGCACGTGGTGAGGGCAATTAAGTGTAATTATTGTGCCCCCTTTCTGACACCTGGAAAAAGAGGGAGGAATGGGAGGAAGAGGAGGAAGGGTGAGAGGGAAGGAGTTATCAGGGAGAGAGAAGAGGAAGAGGGGTTTATCAGAGAGGGGGAAGAGGGAGGGTGAGAAGGAAGAGAGGTTATTTGAGAGGAAGTAGAGAAAAGGGGAGGAGAGATGAAAATAGGAAAAAGAAGGATTAAGAGAGGGAAAGAAAAGGGAAGAGGAAGGGGAAAAGGGGGGAAAGAGAGAACAGTGAAGGGTGAAAGAAGCAGAGGGAAAGAAGGAGTAGAGGAAGAAAAGATAATGGAAAGAAGAGAATAGGTAGATTGAAGGTAGTAAGGGGGAAGGGGAAAGAGATAAGAAAGGAGAATATGGAGGAGAAGAATTTAGAGAAAAAAGCAAGGAGGGAGAATGACATACCTCTCGTTTCTGATTTAACTAGACTGAATGGAGTTAGTGAGTATTCTATATGTTTTATGTAAGATATCCGTGGTGTGGCTCTTCAGTAAACTCTAATTTATTCATTATACTTGATGCGTCAACACAAATATCCCCATTCCACGATTTAACTACGCCTAAACCGTCGTTACTCTACTCAAACCACGTCCTAACTATTCCAAAGTACACCTACTACTCTTCAATTGCACCTAGCTATCGAAAATCACACATTAATTGTCGCTAATGACTTCTTAATTGTCGCAAACTACACCCTAATTATCTCTAAACGCGTCTTGGTCATTACGAGGGACACCTTAAGTGTGTCTAAACTCCTTAGGTAACCGGAACCACATCCTAACTGTTTCGAATTGCAGTTGAATCGCCTCATGTACACACTGGGTTTGAACAAGTCTCAAATATTTACAGCAATGTTTAGCTATTACAAAGTACATTTTAGGAACTTCAAAGCGTCTCCCAGATCCATTTCGACAGTTCAAAAAATCTGTCTCAGTCAGTGCCAAACACATATCAAAACTGCCTAAAGTAACTGCCTAAAGTATGCCAGTTGAAGGTCGAAGCTAAGTTGGAGTGAGATATTGACAAGTATCAGTCGTTTACAGAAGCTCCGCCACACGGACATTTACCCACTTTCTGTCAGTAGAGACGTTAACTTCCTCCCACGGCTCTAACAACAACAACAACAACAAGCTTCACTCAGTACTCTATGTTGTTTCGAGAAAGATGATTATCCATCTCAAAAACTCATTGCTACTTCGACCTTCCTTCACATTACTTTCAGTTCTTTTAGTAACGGGAAAACGAAGCGACAGTAAGTTAAAGTCTTTCGTCGAGATAGAAACACCGCCTGAGTTTGATCTCCAATAATATACAGCGTTTAAGCAGCTTTTGTTGACTTAAGAAAATTAGATAACTTTTTACCACAGGAAAAGATTTGAAGTTTGTGCTCCTCCCCTCCCTGCGTCTCCGGCCTTTTCAGTGTAACAAGAAAATGCCAATATAAGTCCTCCTGGGGGTAATGTTTAACAGTAGACGGCGTCAGGATAATTTTGGTAACCTCTAGAGTAGGATAACTTTCGGATATAAAAAGACTTGTAGGTGTTAGACCCAACAAACCAAAATGTTTCGATACAGAAGTAAGAAACCACAACAGTTTGGGTTTTTCGTCCGACTAACACCACACCACACCATACCACACCACACTACACCACACCACACCACACCACACCACACCACACTACACCATACCACACTACACTACACCACACCATACCACACCACACCACACCACACTACACCACACCACACTACACCATACCACACTACACCACACCACACTACACCACTGGGGACTAATACCAAATATTACCCACTGCTCTTCTTCTTAAAGCCGCACCAACAGATGTAGACGTCTGTTCCTTTGCCACTCACTGATGGAGGAAAAGTTACCTCTAACCTGTCATAACATTGTACGAGTTTATCAGCTTCCCTTTAAGAACGACAGACATCTCTCCACTACAAAAGGAAAATAAGCTTTGGTCGCGCGTCGATATCTTACCACACAGTGACCCCTTAAAAAAAACACGACCACAATTCAGACCTTTTCGTTCACCTCCAGACCTCTCCCCTTGGACTAATATCCAACAGTGTACAATACAGCCTGGTGATGGCCCTAGGTTAACACGCTAGCCTAGCCTGTACACTACAGTAATCATGTTCCTGTCTTCCTCATTGCTGCCGGCACGAAAGGTTAACAACCATAGCTCTTGACATAAAGCCCCACGTCCGTTTCTACATCACTCGGAGGTCTTTATGTGTGTGGGGGTGGGCGAGAGTCGAAGTTTTGTGGGTGAAATTATTATGGTTGTGTGTGGGAGTGTATGAGTGTATGAGTAGATGTGTGTATGAGTGTATGAGTAGATGTGTGTATGAGTGGATGTGTGTATGAGTGTATGAGTAGATGTGTGTATGAGTGTATGAGGGTGGAGGGAGGTAATGACCCTCTGGTACCGAGCTCCTGTCTGTTATGTTGAAGTTCGCGTGACAGTCGGTCGGTCAGTAGTGGTGCCTCCCTTCCCCTCCCTTCCCCTCCCCTCCGATCCCTTCCTTCCTACTTCTCTTCCGTTTCCTTCCCTTCACTTTCTTTCTTTCATTCCTTCTCCCTTTCATTTTTCTTCCGTTCCACTTCCTTTACCTTTCGGTGTGTAGTGGTACCTTCCCCTCCCCTCCCACTTCTATTTACTTCCCTTCCCTTTCATTCCCTTCATTTCCTTCCATTTCGTTTGCTATCATTCCCTTCTCTCCCCTTCACCCCTTTCCCTTCTGTTCCAATCCCTTCCTTTTCCTTCCCTTCACTTCCCTCTCACTTTCAATCCCTTCCATTCTTAAATTATCAAATCCCTCTTCCATCCTATTCTCCCTTTTCTCTACGCTTTTCCCCCTCCTTTATCCCCTCTCCTCCTAGCCCCAATATTCTCTTCACCTTCTCTTCTCGTTTCTCCCTAGTCCTCTACTCTACCTTCTCACTAGGATAATCACCACCACCTCTCCACCTCCATTCTCCCTACCCTTTCTTCACCTCCCCTTTCTCTCTTCCAGTTCACTTTTCCTTCCTAAGTAAATAACTAACTACGTGGGGGGGGGTTCGAACTGACTCACTTTGTGTTCCAGGAAGGGAGGGAGGTTACTCAACACCACCGCGCCACTGAACGATAAGTTATGTCTGGAATTTTCCCTGATGTATAATTTGTCTAAAAGAGGGATTTACTGCACTAGATTACTCGCCAGATCTGTCATAGATATTTTACTTATTCATTTTCTCGGTTATTCACTAATGTATTCTCTCGTTCATATCATATTTAGTAACTATATTATTCATTTATTCATATATTTACATTATCATCCACCGCTTTTTATTCATTTTTTCATCCGTGTTTTTTTTTTCATTTATAATTGGTTCTTTACATTACCTGTTTGATATTTAATTAATCACTTGTTTAATTAGGCATTACCTGACTTTCTCTATGTTTATGTATTAACTTATTCACTCTATGTTTGTTTGTCTTTGTTCCTCTCGTGTGTTCATTGTTTATTTACCTGATTGTGTTTGTTTTTGTTATTAGTTAATTGAATTGCTTTGTGAGAACTCCAATTACCTGGTATATACGTGAATTGCCTGGTATGGACGGGAATTCCTTGGTATGTACGTGAATTGCCTGGCATGTACATACGTGAAATACCTGGTATATACGTGAATTGCCTGGTATGTACGTCAATTAACAGGTATGCACGTAAATTATCTGATAAATACATGAATTACCTGATATGTACTTGAATTTCCTGATATATACGTGAATTTTACACTGTACCTGTTATATACGTGAATTAATATCTAGCCCGTACGTGAATCATTTTTCCGTGTACGTGATTCACCTGACTCCTGTGTGTACGTGGCAGTGACTCACGACACAGCCTCCCACAAGAGCCAATCTATCACCAACTTTAGTCCAGAAGAAACTCACTAATCATGAAAGATTACCTGAGGTCTCGGTGTTCCTCCCAAACTTCTGCAGTGGATTATGAATTCTAACCTTTTGTTTTTTATTCTGTATGGATCTCTCTCTCTCTCTCTCTCTCTCAAACATCCATCCATCCATCCATCCATCCACCCACCAGTAATATCTCTCCTTGTGTCTTTACAGGGACGGAGGAGACGAAGGTGATACAATTCCGGTGCACAGATGGAGGAGGAGGGTTCGAGTGTGCCAAGCTTGTGAACAGCCGGTGCGACACAGAGAAGCAGTTATGTGTTTGTCCAGTGTCGTATCCCATATTGGACCTGGAGAACTCGTACTGCGTCAAAGGTAAGTCAGTATTTTGTCAGGTGGGGGGTTTGAGGGGGGGGGTGATGAATACTAAGGAGGGGTTAAGGTGTGAGAGAGAGTGGAGAGGGGGATGGAGGGGCGAGAGAGGGGGAAGGAATAGGGGGAAAGGGCAGAGAGAGGGGGAGGGGAGAGAGAGAGAGAGAGAGAGAGGTCGGAAGGAGGGAGGGAGGGGAGACTGGATTGTGTGGATGCTGCATCTTATTCTGGATTCCGAGATCTTCTTTTGAGTCAAAGGGAAGTCCTATTAGGTGAGGGGTGAGAGGTGAGGGGTAAGGGGAAAAGGACCAATTAGGGGAAAAAAACAACAACAACAAAGCTGGATGATGGCTGCGAGTGAGTTGATTTCTGTGGTGAGGCAGGAGCGCAGGCTCTCCTTTTTCCTGGTCCAGTGGTGCAAGTGTTGCAACGACTGGGGAGAGGGAGAGTTGCAATGGACTGCCGATAGCCCAGTTTGTTGGGTTTCGCCTTTGTAGCCTGTCCATCATGCATTGCCTTCCTCCGCCGGTGTAGTCGTTGGGTTCCTATGGTGGTCACCTCTTCCGCCTATACCACCGTTGGGGTCTTGTTGGAGCTCTGTAAGCATGTCTGCCTGATGCGGGGCTCCACCGCAGATTTTTTCGTTTAGGGTTTACTCCCGTAGCCTTATACCTACCAAGGTTAATCCTCAAGGCAGCGGGGCAGTGGTTGGTAGGTGCCAGGACGTGTCCACATGCCAGTGGGCCTATGCGCCGCTCCTCTGGGGCCCACTGTTACTACGAGATCCCTGCTGGTCTAGCCTGGGCCCACAAGGCACCCAGTCACCGTATGTTGCCACGAGGAGACACAGCAGGAGTCTTGATGGTGAAGAGGCTGTGTACTGGCAGGGGAAGACTTATGCAAGTTGCTTCCCTGCTCGCCACGAGTACTAGCCAGCGGCGATAGCTGATAACGAGAGGAATCAAGTAGTGTTTGCACCTTAACACTAACATAATGCTGTCACACTAGATGCATTACACCACACACACACACACACACACACACTGGCAACATACCCACAGTAAATGAATCTTGATCGCCGCATACGTGCATTATCATTACACAAATTAATTAAACAAACAGAAGGGTAATGCGATAATGGAATAATTGGTCATTACATACCAGGATGATTACAGGTAAGTCAACATATACACCTGTCCTTAAGCTGTGATTAACACTTGGTATGATCGGCGTATATATACTGTATCCTAATGTTTATATTGCGTTGGTACTTTAGTCTTTTAAAATAAGCTAATAGTTTGATAGTTAATGTGTTTAGATGACCTCTTGAGAATATTCCACACGTTCTTCCTGATAAAAAAAAGATAGAGTGTGATAAATAAAGGGACAGAATGACTTTACGGGAGGTGGGGAGAATGTCATTATCATAATCTTAAAACACAGGCGTAGGTGAGTGAGGTAATGACATCGTTCTTCTCTCTGTTTTTTTTTGGAGGGGGGGGAGAGGCCAGTGAGAGACGACAGGACAGACAATGGGTAGAATTAGAGATATGTCCCCCCCGCTCTCCTCCACTTCGCCAACTGTCATCCTCCCCCCCCCCTCCCCCCACCTGACCTCCTGCTTAATTGCTCTCCTTCCTGACTGTTGGGTCGTTAAGGAGCAACTGGTTCATTAGGAGTGTTACTGCCGGTGACACTCGGGCGGCGTATAATGCGTATTTTCTCTCTTATCAGGTATACTGTGTACTTCCACTGCTGGCGTAATGTGGTTTTATTTTTTAATGTTTTACGCAACCCATGAAGCTATTAAGATGTCTAGTAGTGCCTATTGGTGTGTGTGTGTGTGTGTGTGTGTGTGTGTGTGTGTGTGTGTGTGTGTGTGTGTGTGTGTGTGTGTGTGTGTGTGTCACCGTGCGTTCTTACAGGTGTTGGGTGATGATAGTAATATAGAAATTTCACCTTAAAGATCTGGTTTTTTTTTAATCGGTTATATAACACGTAAACATTATACCCTAAACTGAGGGAGACATACAAACAAACAAGAAGAGACAAACGAAACAGATTTTTAACAATAGAGAAAAGTGACATTCAGATAAAACAAACAAACATATTCACTCTCGTTTTTATTTTATTGTATTTTTCTTTTGAATTTTACGTAACATGAACTCTGCCCGGGTGAAAACTGCCGGGACAAACATTTACACGGCGAGGAATGTGTACCGTGCACAGACCGAGGCAACACACACACACACACACACACACACACACACACACACACACACACACACACTTTGGACCAACGTGATGTATAAGTCAGGGTGGATCAGGGTGGGTGGAGGTGAAGGTGAGGGAGTGTGAGTGGGAATGAGGGGGTGGAGTAGGGAAGAGGGCGTGGAGTGGGGGAGAGGGAGTGGAGTGGGGGAAGAAGGAGTGGAGTGGGGGAAGAAGGAGTGGAGTGGGGGGAGAGGGTTTTGGTTCAATTCCCTGCCTCATTTGATCGTGAGTTAGAACCCGGAAGGAATGATGCAGAAAGTTGGCATCATTTACATAAAGAGATTCTCAAGTTGATTGATTTTGACTTCAGTGTTAATTCTTTTTTATCTATCTATCTATCTATCCTAAGCAACACGAAATATTTATATACCAAACACTAGATGATAATAGTAGTAGTTGTGGTAATAGTAAAATAGTATTAGTAACTTTCGTAGTACTATGAGTGGTGGGAGTGGTAGTAGACTTAGCAATTGTAATAGTGGTAATTGTTGTAGTTGTTGTGGCGATAGTCGTAGTAGTTATGGTAGGTTGTGATAGGTGCGTATTATTATTATTATTATTATTATTATTAGTAGTAGTAGTAGTAGTAGTAGTAATTGTTGTTGTTGTTGTTGTAATAGTAGTAACAATAGTAGCAGTATTGATTATGAGGAGAGTGTCAGTAACAGTAACGTCACAGCAACAATGATAACAGCAGTAACAGTAACGAGCATTATAACACAGCAGGGTAGCGTCAGAAGTGCTGTGTTCAGGTCAGGTCGGGTCAATAACCAACAGGTATACAACACGCCACACCCGCAGCAGGAACAGCAGTAATTACAGCACGAGCAGCAGGTTTAGATTACAGCACCACCACCACTAGCCGCACCACATATTAACAACACTAGCAGCAATAATATATAATAGCAGTAGTAGTAGTAGTAGTAGAACCAATAACAGCACAACACCAACAGCAGTAGCCGCAGTAATAAATAACAGCAGTAGCACCATCAATAACAGCAGCGACAGAGTACAGCAGCCGCAGTATCAATAACAACAGCTGTGGGTGTGAACAGGTTGGGTCAATAGTCAACTACTGCCTCACCCTTCCTCACCCTCCCTCACACTCCCTCACTCTCCCTCACACTATCCCTCCCTCACACTCCCTCACTCTCCCTCACACTATCCCTCCCTCACACTCCCTCACTCTCCCTCACTCCCTCCCTCCCCTCACCTATCTCCTCCACCTCCTCCACTATCCCTCCCTCCACTCCCTCCTCTCCTCCACTATCCCTCCCTCACACTCCTCCTCTCCCTCACTATCCCTCCCCTCACCTCCCCTCCTCTCCCTCACACTATCCCTCCCTCACACTCCCCTCACTCTCCCTCCCACCTATCCCTCCCTCACACCTATGCCCTCCCTCACTCCCTCCTCTCCCCTCCACCTAACCCTCCCTTCACTTTATCCAGCTCATATTTCACTCATTCCTTCACACGTATTCCTTATCCCTACCTTTATCTTTTCCTCCTCTCCTCCTCCTCCTCTTCACTTCGTTGAGTCTCCCCCCCACATTCCATACTCCCTCCTCCACCACCCCACACCCACCACCCATACCTTCACCTCCCACCCAGCCCCCCCTCCCCCTGCACCTAATAACAGTCAACACTATACCATGAGCCCGACACTCTGGCTCTCAACAAGTGGCGAACTATTGATTATGGCGTTGTACTGTTTACTTCACACACACACACACACACACACACACACACACACACACACACACACACACAGCGCCGTATGCTCCTGGGTTAATATCACTCAATATTTCACATCCAACAAAAGTCACTTCGTTATGTTTAGTCGTGACTGTGGCTGAACACAACCCTGACAGACTGTATATAATGTTGCTCAATAAACCAGGGTCATGATCACGATATATCTAGAGGTTACAGTATCTTCCCCTTGTTGATAGACTGCGTGAATAATGTAATCGAGGATATTTTTCGTTTAAGATTAATTTATGATTTGACTAATTCTTTTTTTACCCCAAATTATTATTATTATTATTATTATTATTATTATTATTATTATTATTATTATTATTATTATTATTATTATTATTATTATTATTATTATTATTATTATTATTATCATTATTATTATTATTATTATTATCATTATCATATTCGAGAATTAATGATAAAATTACAAAATGCAAGTTAATAAACACACACACACACACACACACACACACACACACACACACACACACACACACACACACACACACACACAGGATCAAAAGGTATTTATAAATCACGGTCTCTTAAGTTGACTGCTTGCTGATGTCTTCACAAGATCAGGTGTAAGTTGAGGATGACTTCTCTCTCTCTCTCTCTCTCTCTCAGGCAACACCACGTATCCTTCATAGATCTATAATTGGCAGGGCTGGGTGGGTCTCCTCCTCTCTTCCTCTTCCTCTTCTACCTCCTCCCTTACCTCTTCCTCCTCCCCCAAAGCCACCACACGTTTGAAAAGTTATTAGTTCTGACATGCCGCTACTTCTGTACTGCCCACCTCCAATTAATACCTGCCAGCTCTCCTCTCACTTTATGTTGCTCTATCTCACTATTTTTCTCTTTCTTTCTTTCTTTCTTTCTTTGTTTTTAACAACTTTCTCTCTGATCTTCCCTCTCTCTCTCTCTTTCTCTCTCTCTCTCTTTCTCTCTCTCTCTCTCTCTTTCTCTCT